CCAAAAAAAAATTACTGAGCAGCACAACTGTTATAGTAATACTATAATAATAATAATAGTCACAACTGATAAGAAGAAGAGTTTTGATTAAATAAATGCAGCCTTGGTGACCATAAAAGAAGGTTTTACTGACCCCAAACTTTTGAATAGTAGTGCATGAAAATGGAAAATAAAAGGTATACTGACCAAGTTTGCCAAAAAGTTCAACTCCCAGCGCCGCATAGATGAAGAACAGCAGCATAAATAGCAGACCCAGATTACCAACCTAGAAAGCCAGAACATCACCAGAATAAAGCCACATACACCATCATCTCGGGCCATATAAGGTCTCTGTGAAGTAGTTCCTCAATACAAATAGCATATACTGTAGCACAAGACATACTGTATAAACTTACTGACCTGCGGTAAAGCTTGAACTACTGTATCCAGAAGAGCTCTCATTCCTGTGGCCATCTTCAACAGCTTCAACACTGAAAGGGAATTTTATATCACATATCATTCCTCTTTAATCACTGAAATCTCCTTTTGACATTACTGTCACAAACCCAAACTGTAATACATATCTGTTTAGCACTATATAAAAAGAATCAACTACCGTTCTCTACCGTATTCTATTTGAATATATTTTAAAATGTAATTTATTCCTGTGATGCAAAGCTGAATTTTCACCAGCCTTCACTCCAGTTTTCAGTGATCCTGCAGAAATCATTACAATATACTGATTGCTGCTCAAGAAACATTTCTTATTATTATGAATGTTGAAAACAGTTGTGCTGCTTAATATTTTTGTGATTTTTTTTCCAGGATTCTTTAATGATTAGATAGTTCAAAAGAACAGCACTTATTTGAAATAGAAATTTCCGTAGCATAAATGTCTTTACTTTCATGTTTGATCAATTTAATACATTCTTGCTGAATACAATTTTTAATTTCTTTCGGAAAAAAAAGAAAGAAAATCTTACTGACCCCAAACTTTTGAGCGACAGAGTAAATAAAACTTTTTAAATTTCCCATTTTTATTAGAGGTGCTAGAAAAGCTGGAAACTTCTCTATTGTACCCTGTTTAATTTCTCACTTGTCACAGCTGGTGTGTGTGTGTCTTCATGTATTTGGTACCTCTGGCGATGCGCAGCACCCTCATTATGCGAATGATGGTTGGGTTGATGGGTAGTGAGGCATTCAGGTCAATTTCCTCAAGTGTGATGCCCATAATGGAGAGAAGAACAATTGCCAAGTCTAACTGATTCCACCTGACAGAAAAAAGACAGAAACACCCAATGAGATAAAGACAAGGTCCTATGAAACCATTTAATATTCTTGAAAAGAGCTAAACTTGACCATTTGAGACTGTTAAAGCAAAGGTCTTGCTTTAACACTTTCTTTCTTTCTTAAACTTTATTTTAAGCTTAAAGAGCCATGGAACACGAAGGAAAGACAATGGTAGAGAATGTTAGCATCCCGTATTTTTCATTTATAGAGGAAAGTTATTAATTTATAGACTTTTGGGGCTATTTTTCTCTGTGTCAAAGTGACAGGATGTGTCTCAAAGGTGTCTCATAATTATTCATGAGGCTGCATGGCCTTATTTTAAGAGAAGGCCTTGTCTCATTATTATTCATGACATCATGTGACTTTTCTCTATGATAGCACTTCAGTCAGTGAGTTGATACTATATTAGAACATGGGCTGCAAGTTTTCACGTTTGCATGATATGCGATGCTGACAGAGCAACAGGATTTCAATTAATGACTGACAGGTTTGAAATATTTGTGCAACAATCATGTTTTATAGGAGGGTTGGAAAAGCACCGTGGCTCAAGACGCAGTTTGACACTGATAGTTTCGGCATCACAGACACCATCCATCCTCACTTTGAGATTACACCAAATATAACTGTGAATCAGCATAACAATAGTTGATGATTGACAAAGATGACAAAAGATGATTGACAATTAGCATACAGTTTGGATTGGCGGTATGGTTCTGTCCTGCGCAAGAACTCCCTGCGCATCCATGCAGCCTAGCATGGATGAGAGCAGGGAGAGCAGCGATAACCCCCCCAGGGTAAACAGAACAGAACCAACATAAATGTATTGCAGATATTGTTAAAGTTCAATAATGTTATGTACACATTTTAGAATTAGTCTGATTCAAAGGAGAATCAGAAGGCTGAATCCTGACTGACAGAGGAGGAGTTGGGGATGGAGGAGGGTAATTAGTTATTGAGCAATGCAAAAACTGCTGATAATACTGAGGGACCTTATATATGAATGCTTAGATAGGTGTCGTATTCCCATAGGTTGATGGGGATCAGCTGAGAGTCAGCTGATGCGAGCTTGACTAATGTGACCTGCCAGAACTAACGCTACGCTAGATAATAATAGTCTCAAAAGTTGTTAATAATTCAAAAGCACATTCACATATTTTAATGCAGTGAGAAAACGCAAATCATCCCTGTATTTATTTATGTAATAAATCACAGATAAATATACACATTTATTTGAAATATAATTGTTGTAACAATGTAAAAGTCTTTTAAATTAAATAAAATAAATTTTTTTAATAAATTATTTTTATTCAACAAGGATGCATTAAATGGATCAAACATGACAGTAGACATTTACATTGTTACAAAAAATATATTTCTGCTATATTGCTGTTCTTATGAACTTTCTATTAATCAAAGAATCCTAAAAAAAATGGTTTTCATAAAAATATTAAGCAGCACAGCTGCTTTCAACATTGATAATAATAAGAAATGTTTATTGAGCAGCAAATCAGCATATTAGAATAATCTCTGAAGGACCATGTGACACTGAAGACTGAAAATCTTCAGTTTTCAGCTTTCCATCACAGGAATAAATTATAATTTAAATAGAAAACAATAATCTTAAATTGTAACAATGTTCACAATATTACTGTTTTTGTTGTATTTTCAAATAATCAAATAATCAGCAATGGTGATATATACCATTAAATATATTCCAAATTTTTTGAACAGTAGTTTATAATTGATGAATTTTAGTTGAACTGCAACATGCCATTAAAGCGAAACTAAACTTATTGCAATTGTTTTCTCATCGCTTCTTGAAATCCATGACTACTGCGCTGAGAACAGATCCCTGCTGAAATGTCAATATCAGAAATGTACCAACTAGTGAACTTACTGTCTAGAAAACATGCTGTATTTCCGCATTGTGTCCGCATGACGGAGCCTTACCTCTCTTTGAAAAATCTCCTAAAGCCAAACGCAACCAATTTCAGCACAGCCTCTATCACAAAGACCAGTGTGAAGAAATAATTACAGTACTTCAGACCTTCATCCAGATACTGAAAAACACAGACACAAATAAAGACAGTCAGGCACCTGGAATATTAAACTCTCAATTCAACAGAAATTTAAAATTGACCATTTATTTATACAGTCCTGGTCTTATTATGAATAATGCATCAGTGCAGGTTATTCATATTGTAAAAAAATATATGTTTTGTCAAAATCTTTTATCAAAATGTAATCAATTGCTCTGCCTCTTAAAAAACTTTTCTTTTCGATTGACATCACCAAGACCTCTTATTTTTCAACACCATCTGATGTCAATTTATTATGCAATTCCAATTTTTCATGGTCCAAACAATTTCCGATGCATAAAATCAATTATAACTCTGTATTTGTTTATATTAAATACTGTTTCGCTCTGAATAACATCTGATTATAGAAGTATGGGAGTGAACCAGTGCAATCTTTAACTAAAAATAAATATACTAAAAAAATAATTAATTGTAATTAATTAAACTTTCACAGAAATAAAATAGAATATAAAAATTCTAGTTTTTTTTCAGTTAGTTGTGAAAGTAAAATTTCTCATTTTCGTTTAGTTTAAGGTAACTAAAATTACTAAAACTAAAACTAAAATTAATAAAATAAAAAAAAAATGACAAGAACACAACACAACTTTAAAATTAAACTAAAATGGAAAATATAAAAATAACTAATTTATATTATTAATAAATACTAAGATACTGAAATTACAAATGCTATACTAAATACTTTTAGCATTTTTGAAAACAGGTTTGTGTTAACATATTGATAGTGTCATTGCTCTGCAGAACTAACGTCTGTGTGTGTGTGAGTGTGTGTGTAATACACCAAACCTTGGGTTGTCTGTAGTGCTCCATTGACATCGTGAGCACATTAATGGCGATGATGATGGTGATGAAGAGGTCCAGATAATGGCTAGTGCAGAATGTGTGAATATAGATAGATGTTGGAGAGTAGTCTGCATAGTACGGTCTCTGCAGCGCCTCTAAAAGACAACAAACACACAGAGAACAATGGAACACCTTCATTAGGGTGTATTCAGGTCATTCAGGTATTCACACTCATCTTGCATCACAGGATGCTGTGAACATCCTCGCTCAAGATTTTAGGTTTAAAAATGTCGGTTTTGTAATACAGATTTGAACTGAATACTTGTTAATATTCACAAGATATGTGAGGTTTCATTGAAAATAACTCAAGGGCAGGCTGTGTGTTGTTAGTGCACTGTATAGGCTACTTTGTTGTCCCTGTCAAACACAAGCACACTGACCCAGTTTTTGTCTGGGCAGTAAATTGCTAACGTAGCAGTGTGTGTGTGTGTGTAGTCACAGTTAGCAAACAGTCGAGTCATCTGAGGGACGTTATAAATGTCCAGCCAAGCGTCCCCCCACATCCATCATGGCTCAAGACTGCTCAAGGTGTCTTTGAGACAAGCTTTGTGAGCATTTGAGGGAGGGAGAGAGCAAGAGAGAGAGCAAGAGATGTCCTGAGACAGCTAGCTAATTCAGTTTCCAGTTCGGGCACCCTTACAAACAGTACTGTGGCAGTAACATGGTGCACTAATGGTATTGTGAATATTACTTACTTGTGTAAAACTCACATCCTTGATGCTAGGGAGATGAGGGTGGTTGCCAGGGTGTTGCTATGTAGTTGCTCAAGTGTACTAAATGGCTTATATTTTGTTCCTATATAGTTGCTAGTGTGTTCTAGGTGGTTTCTATACCATTGCAATAGTGTGAGTACCCTGTTTTAGAGTGTTACAACTGAGTGGCTTTTAGAGGCTTTTAGTGCTTAGCAATTAAACTGTACTAACCATGTGTGATGCAATAAAGTTACAAGCAATAAAACCAATCTGTTCCATGCTAGTTTTATTCTAACCAGCAGTGACAAGCCACAAAATATTTTGTTGCCCTATGCTCCTCTAAAAATTAAAGTGGCGAAAAATCCATTTTGTTCTGAAGTCCGCTTTCAGTGACAGCAGAAATATGACTGAAACTTTTTATTATGACACAGTCTGACTCAAACACGTACAACAAACACTCACTCCTGCGTCTTTTTTCCATGCGCTTCTGTCTCTTCTCCTCTCTCTGTCTGGCCTCCTCTTCCTCCTGGTCTTGTCTACACTTGTGGAAGTTCTCCACCACCACACCTACAAACATGTTCAGAACGAAGAAGCTGACGATCAGCAGGAAGGAGATGAAGTACAGAAGCATCCAGGGATTATGATTCCTTATGGGCTACAAAAGAAAAACGGAGCATTTAGATAGAAATGGTGGTGACATTGTTCAACTAAAGAAGTAATTTTCATAAAGAAATATTCATGTCTGCATGTAATCAGCATACCGTAGTAACAGTATATTAAGCATATACATTTTATAAGCTTGCACATACGTTTCCTACCATTATTTTTTGGAAATGGTAGATGCTCGCTCTTGGCATTTACTTTGCTGCATTTAGAGTAATTCTGCACATTAATTTAATCTCATAAAACTCACTAATTTAGGACTGTGACAACTTGTAATGAATTTAAAAATTCAGGTCATAAGGCTTAATGTTTTCACTCGTCTGTACATTAATTTATGTATTTTGATGCTGCTCTCATCTCCAAAAGCATGTTTCTTCAAATCATCTTATAGCATTCATCATTAGTTTGATCATGCCATGTTCCAAAATTAATAATATTCAGATATTCAGAATAATATTCCAGCTGTCTTAGTTAAACACTAATTAAGTTTATTTTTAAAAATAAAACTACTTAAATGTTGTAAAAAAAAAATTCAATTCAATATACTGTACACTACCATTTAAATATTTGGGGTCAGTAAGATTTTTTTATGTTTTTGAAATAAGTCTCTTATGCTCAACAGACTGCATTTATTTTATCAAAATACAGTAAAAACTGTTTAATAATATTAAAATTTAAAATACTTTCTACTTAAATGTATTTAGTGTAAATTATTCCTCTGATGGCAAAGCTAAATTTTCAGCATCAAACTATTGGAATACTGGTTTAACACAGCAAGTAGCATTAACATGACACATACCAGAATATGAAAATTTACATTACAATTTCAAAGCACACATAAAAGTCATTGTAAGTTGCCAGGATGAAAAGAAGGTGGAGAGAAAGGAGCCCATCAGTAAGAAAGCAAAGACAGGAAATGCGACAGGAAGAAAGTGCAGAATGGAATGGAACTGTACTCTGTACTTGTCTTATTGTATAGGCAACACAAGTGGTATTTGTCACCACACAAAAGATGGGCCGCTGTAAAGGACACTATGTAAACCAGTTGTGTTGAGTCTGTTACTGTCCGTGGACTCTATGTGTGAGAGAGAGTGTGTATAAGACCTCTCAGTGGAATTAAATGATGAATGTTCTGCCTCTCCTCCTCAACCTGCTCATTTTGGTGTCCTCCACTGTATTTTTATCTCTCTCTCCCTTATTCTTTAGTTCAGGGCTGAATTAATCAAACACTCGCTTTACCTAAAAACCCGCTGCTGCCTTTTGTGAGTGTGTCACTTGAGCTTCAGGGAAGAAAAAAGCAGTAAACACTCGTGGTGCCTGTGTTTTCTTTTGTTATAACGGACAGATTCAGAGTAAGGTGTAAGTGTTTCCACACAGTAGAGTTATCTAAAGAATGCACACACACACACACACACACACACACACACAGACACAGACACACACACACACACACACCTGTTGGTCCACAGCCACAGCATCTAAGCCATCGTACATGATGCTGACCCAGCCGTCTTTAGATGACAGGACGAATAATGACATCAGTGCCTGCAAAACATAGATAAAATGAATTTATGTGAATAAGAGAATATTTTACAGAATTACTGTATCACTGTCAATATCTGCACAATGTTGAGGGGAAGGTGAGATGAACACAATTTTGCTCAGTTGAGAGCCACTGCACAGCAAAAAAAATAAAATAAAAAAAGTTTTGTTTAAAGAAAAAAAAAAAAAATCCAAACATATACTGAATTTCTTTGGGAAGTAAAAACAGCGTTTTTAAAGGGGTCATATGATGTTGCTAAAAAGAACATTATTTTGTGTATTTGGTGTAATGAAATGTGTTTATGCGGTTTAAGGTTCAAAAAACACATTATTTTCCACATACAGTACTGTACATTGTTTCTCCTCTATACCCTGCCTTTCTGAAACGCGTCGATTTTTACAAAACTCATCGGTCTGAAAAGAATATGTCTTGAATTGAATTTTCTCCATTAAGTGTATTGTTTGTGGTCAATATGATTATTTTATATTATTGAAAGAAGTCTCTTATGCTTATTTATCTGGTCAAAAATACAATAAAAACAGTAATATTGTGAAATACTCTTTTCTATTTTAATATAATTTAAAATGTAATTTATTCCTGTGATGCCAGCCATAACTCTAGTCTTCAGTGTCACAGGATCCTTCAGAAATCATTTTAATATTCTAATTTGGTGCTCAAGTAACATTTCATATTATCATATTATCAATGTTGAAAAGAGTTGTGCTGCATAATATATTTGTGGAAAACGTGATACATTTGTGATACATTTGTATGAATTTTTTTATGAATAGAAAGTTCAAAAGAACAACATTTATTTAAAATGTTTTATAACAATGTATACGTCTTTACTGTCACTTTTGATCAATCTAATGTATTTTTGCTGAATAAAAGTATTACTTTCTTTCAAATAATAATCTTATTGATCCCCAAAAAAACGGTAGTGTAAATTGTTCATAGTTTGAACTGTCAGCACTTGATGTTCAAATCAAGCACATGTTAGATGTGAAACATAATTTAATTAATTACATGATGGTATTAAAGTTGCATGTCTAAACTAAGAATAGCACAGATTTCACATATGAAACAACAGAAGAGCAATGAGAAACACTGTCCACCAGAACCCTGTCATTCTGATGAAATGTGCTCGTGTGACCTGAATCTAAAATATAATGGGTTACTTGATGGTTTAGAAAAAGGGCAAATGGGAAGGTTGATTATTTTAATAAAAGACGCCACCAGTGGACATAATTCATTCTTCATGATTTCCCCCTTAATGTCTACCTGACTACCTCTATATGTGTGTGCGTGTGTGTGTACTGTAAGTGTGAGTGAGTGTGAGCGTCCTACCTGACCCAGGTTATCGAAGTTGTACTTCCTACGGACCCATTTGTATTTAGCCTGCAGGCATTCAGATTTATTGGTGATATTTCTAGTGTCAAAGCCTTCACAATGATAAAACTTCCCCTTAAAGAGCTGAACAAAAGAAAAACACCTTACATTTAGACAGCATTATTACAAATAAACTGCTCATTACAAAGCAAACAATTGAACTAATAAATACACATTCATAAAAGTTAATAAAAATGAAATGAATTCCGATTTTGTCTTCTTTTAAAAATTTAGACACTAGCAATGTGTGTGTACCTGAACTCCCAGAATGCCAAAGACAATGAAGAAAGCACAACAGATCAACACAATATTTCCAATAGGTCTGAGAGATGTGATCAATGTTTCAACAACCAGCTTCAGTCCGGGAGCCCTGCTTATGACCCTGATAACACAAACAGACACAAAGAAATGCATATTTAGTGTGGCAACAATATCTGAACTCAATGCAAAACCATTGAACTAGAAAGCGGCTGTTAATAAAAGGACTCAGAGTGTTGCACAACAAGCTGACGAGACAAGATGTTCTCTAGTGTTAGCCTTGAAATTAATAGGTAAGTCTGCTCAGCAGAATATCTTGCTGTCTGAGAGTTGCACGGTTTTGTTCAGATGTGTCTAGCGGAATAGTTTCCTGACAATAACAAGAGATGATGTGGTTTCAGCACCATGGACACCAGCATTATAAAATTTAGGGTTACATTCTTTTTTCTTTTGATCAAAGTCAAGCTTTTGGCTTGAAGTGCAAATGAAATTTGAGAGCTTTGGCAAAGATTTTTAGCATATACAAATTAATTTAGGTCTACTCCTCACACAAAATTACAGTGTGAGTTAAGAATAGTGATGCACCGTAATTAATTTTTTACCGAAATACCGAAAGCGAAATTAAAGTTTTCATTTAGCCGATAAACTACAGAAAATAGTTTATTTAATAATCAATTCATTCATCTAATTTATTTAAAACTGGAAACTGAGATAAAAACTAATAATTTAATAAATACTGAGTTGTATATACTGTGTATGAATTTAATTTACACACAGGTCAGTTTTTATTTAAACTTTTTAATTACCGAAATACCGAAAGCGAAATTAAAGTTTTCATTTAGCCGATAAATGAAACAGAAAATAGTTTATTTAATAATCAATTCATTCATCTAATTTATTTAAAACTGGAAACTGAGATAAAAACTAATAATTTAATAAATACTGAGTTGTATATACTGTGTATGAATTTAATTTACACACAGGTCAGTTTTTATTTAAACTTTTTAATGATATAATTACGTTTCTATTACAATTCATTGTTGAAATGTGAACATTTAAATGGTAGCTGTAATAAAAACTTGTTTTCATAATTTATTCAAACGTGTGTTAAATAATATCAAAAGTAAAAATAAAAAAAAACCCTACAAGGTTTAGTAGGATTTTTGTATGATAGGCTCGCTAAATATAATGTTTAGTGAATTTTTGTTCATGCATCAGCTGAAATCAGCATACTGTAGAATAAAAGATCTTGGTTCATCAAACTGAAGATTGATTAAAAATGAGAAATCAGTATCATCAATCCAGCTGTTCTGTAACCGTTTCAGTCAACGATTTCGGCCCTCCAAAACTTTTTCAGGCAAAACCGAAAATTAATTTTCGCCTAAATTTTGGTTGCCAAAATTGTGGTGCATCATCACCATTTCAGATTAATTGAAATATGGTGCCAGAGTTGTATCCACTACTTTTATTGAGAATTTTTGGAGTTCACCAGCTCTGGCCCCAATTCACTTCCATTATATTGCAAAACAGCAGTGTGAACATTCTGCTAAACATCTTCTTTTGTGTTCCTCAGAAGAAAGATGAGTGAACTACCCCTTTAAGAATATTACAACAGCCTACAATAGAGGACTTAATGTACTTCTACACATTCATACACACCCACACACACCTTCAATAAGAGTCTTACCTCAAGGGTCTTAGTGTTCTGAGCAGTCGAAGTACTCGTAAGATACCCAGGATTCTGTTCCCGCCAGAGGAGGCGAGAGAGACCAGGATGTCCACAATAGACACAAATACCAGCAGGCCGTCTAGAACATTCCAGCTGCTCTTCAGGTACGAGCCTGGACCAGCATACAGCCCAAGAGAAACCACCTACAACACCAACAACATAATAATCATAATCAGTCATGAGCATGTTGACCTGAATCTACCTTTTATTATTATTGTATTATAAGTTACTAAACTAAAATGTTTGCCTTTATTAAATCAATTAACAATATTGTATTAATTTCCTACCTTCACAGTCATCTCAGCCATAAAGATCACAGAGAAAATGTAGTTAGACACTTTAAGAAAAATCCGTTCCTGTCAAACAAACAAATAAATAATGAAAATGTCATTTAAAAAGGCAACAAATGCACCACATACTTTAGAGACCAATAAAAGAGCATCTATGAGGTGTTACTGTGTTTCACCTACTGAATCCACCCAGTGGCTGTTTACAGCATTTATTTAGCATATTATAACATTTCATGACTGAGATATAATGGATATTATAATTTTAAAGTTGTATTCAGGAAATTTATTTTAGGTTTATAGATTATATGCACATTAAAATGTTTCAAAAGGGTAGAATCATATCATTCTGAAATCAGTTTCCAATATTAACCCACATGACCATATATTATTATGATAAAAGAATATTAATGATTATTTTTTTCTCAATAAATGTACAAAAATAAAAAATGTAAAATTTTATTACATTTAAATAAATTCAATACAATTTAAATAAATTCTGCCAAGTGATACAGTTCATTAGTTCTAATTAAGATACATTTATGATATTTATATAGACTATGTAATATAAAATGTAACTGATGTGTGGTCACAGGTATGTGTTTATCGGCTATTTTACAGTGGCTTTGAATGCGGCTCAGCCAATCAGATTTCCGCTGGCACTGCTACAAATGCAGTTTCAATAATACAGTTGTACCATCACCATTCATAGCACATTCACACCATCAGCATATTAGAATGATTTCTGAAGGATCATGTGACACTGAAGACTGGAGAAATGATGCTGAAAATTCAGTTTTACCATCACAGGAATATTACTGATTTTACTGTATATTTGATCAAATAAATGGTGAGCATAACAGACTTCTTTCAAAAACATTAAAATATCTTACTGACCCAAAACATTTGAACAGTAGTACCGGTATATAGGGGTGTAACGGTGCACAAACATGGCGGTTCAGTACGTACCTCGGTTTTAAAGTCACGGTTCGGTACGGTTTCGGTACAGCAGGGGGAAAACTAAACATAAATTGTTTAGTTTTTTTATTAAACAGTGGTTTACTGAACAAATTGCTCTCTTTAAATAAATTTAATTATAATTAAAATTTTCTTAGGGTTAAAAATCTACCTCAGCTTATGCTCTAAACCAGGGGTCACCAAACTCGGTCCTGGAGGTCCGGTGTCCTGCAGAGTTTAGCTCCAACCCTAATTAAACACACCTGAACCAGCTAATCAAGGTCTTAATAGGTATACTTGAAACATCCAGACAGGTGTGTTGAGGCAAGTTAGAGCGAAACTCTGTAGAACAGTGGCCCTCCAGGACCAAGTTTGGTGACCCCTGCTCTAAACTATAGGGAGTCATTTTACAAGCTGTGGACACTTAAGACTTGCCTGAGGTAAATAAAATGCTACATGACATTTTGCTTACAAGATGTTTTAATGACGTCTTTCCGCAGTTGAAACACTGATTGAGCGATTACATCAGGCGTGAGATGTTCATTCATGTTTATTTCACGTTATAACTAGTAGTAAAGAGGAAGGCATGATTACGCCCCATCAAAGAGTGTCAAATCGGCATTTATTGTTTGAATTTCCTGAAAAAATTACATAATTTGAAAAATAATACTTTGTGTCTTATCAAAAGTAACAATATAACTGAAAGTTTCCAATGAAGTTCCACTCGTGCAGTGGTTAAAACAATGCTGTATTTGTTCGGTACACATGCGTACCGAACCGAAATCGTATTTTCAATACGAATACGTGTACCATTACACCCCTAGTAGTATGCATATATAATAAAGCTCGATGATGGTGCTAGAATAGGTGTTGTGGTTGTGTTCACCATGCTGTCAGCCTGGATGTCAGGTCTCTCTAGAGCGATTGTGATGCAGTTAAGGAAGATGAAGAACAGCACAATATGATCAAACATCTTATGAGTGATGACCTTCTGACAGTGCATTCGGAACCTGCAGAGAACAAGAGAAAAAGCTGTGTGAACCGCATAAAAATGTGCAAGCACAGCATTCATTAGATGTGTATATGTGTGTATTTAGCTGGTCTGCTGTGTTTGCACTCACTTATTTTGGGGGGAAAATAAGTAAAGTGACCAATCCTCATGGTCTCTACACCACTGGGGTTTATACGGCTCCAACAGTCTCTTCACAATCAGACACCAGCTCTAAATGAAATATAATACCAAATAAGATGTGTATTTTCTAAAGAAAATATTATAAACTTATTAAACACTTAATATTTGCAATATTTAACAATGCCAAGAATATTTTATCATTGTGACTGATATATTAGTATAATCAATAATAAAAAATGATTAAAGACAAGTTTCCACCTCCTCAAATTCATCATCATCCGCCCCCTGTGTGGATGGTGGATCAGGACGTGTAATGTTTGGAGAGGATGGATACCCTCCATCTAATCTGCCATTACACTCCAAATATGGGCGTGGAACCTGGAGGAGCTCTGGAAAATCAAATGACCCTAGACATGAAACTCCGCCCAGACTGCCAGTCCTGCTGGATTTCCCATCTTCTGATTGGCTGTCATCCATGCTGTCCTGTCCCGCTCCTGAAAGCAACGACTCACGCTCCCCTGACTGAGCACGTCTCATTAGACTGGGGGCATGGCCAAGGCTGTTCCAGCTGGAGCGGCGACTTCCCCAAAGGCTGGACTACAACAGACACACAAACTGTAGCTGATTATCACGGCATGCAACAAGTGGTGTAGTATGATAGAACAAATTAAAAAAGAAATAAGTAAGTTGACATATATACAGCAGTGAGAAGGACAACATGGACAATTTGTAACCACTTAGATATGACAATTAAGATAATTTGGGATGACTGAATTTGATGGTTAATAATAAAAAAAATAATTTAACCTAAAATTAAATTAAATTATATTAATTATTCCTGCTGTTATGGATGTCTATCAAATAGTATCAGTAAAAGGAATCAGTAAAAGAAAAAAATGAATTATATTATATTATATTATATTATATTGATAAGGGCATATGATAAGGGCAACTGATCATATCAGAGATGTCCAGGTATTTATATAATTTATACTTTTTTAAAATAGTCTGATACATATATGTGATTAACTATGTTTTATAATTTTTTTCCAAAGCTTTTGTAATTTTATTTATTAATTTATAGATATTTGGGTACACACACACACACACACACACACACACACACACCTATACGTGTTTTTCTATACTCATGAGGACCATGACTACACAGCATGTTGTGAGGACTCCCCTTTCTGCTGACACTAGGAGAATGAAAAAAATAGTTTTACCACTAGGGGGGAGTAGACAAACAGAAAATCACTTCAAATGTTTACACACACAATGTTCACAAAACTGGCACACACACACGAATTCCGAATAGTTGGATTCATGTACATGATTAAATATGATTTACACATTTATTTACATAACTTTTGTATTTTTAATTATTAATTTATGCATATTTGGTTAGGTATTTATTTAATTTCATATCAAATATAATGGAGCATATCAATATTAAAACAAAACTCCAAAAGCTCAAAATATAAAAGGCAATAAAAACATGGTAAAAGGCCATGGTAAAAACCACTTTAATGAAGAAGAAAAAAAAATCTTCAGGTGAATGTTTGCTTTCGAAATGTCATGCTGAAAATGTACAATGTATATTTATATTTGGTGTGAAAAGCCTTAAGAGCTGTAATTCTAATATGAATATAGATCAAAATATCAATTTAAATGTTTGTTTATGATTACTCTTTGTGTAGGTTTACTTGTAATGGCATTTACTCCTCACCAGGGATCTTTGGTCATGGGGCTCGGTGGAGGTGTTGCTGTTGCGCCGTGATTGGCTATAGATGTGTGACACCTCAGTTCTGGGTGTGGCGTTCAGCTGTATGTGTGCGTTGTGAGGTGGCATGGATGCTCGAGGTTCCAGATGTCCATTGGAGATGGGCATTAATGTCTGCATTTTCATCTCTGATCCTAATATCAACAAGAGATTCAAATAAAATAACAAAACACATAAAAAAAGCTGTGCACAAGCAAATGCACACACACACACACACAGACACACACACAGACACACACACACACTAACCTGAATTCAGTAGTTCTCTCAGTTTGTCCTCATCACCATAGTCAGACGACATGTCATCAGTGTCTGATCTGCTAGCATCACCCTGAAATAGAGAGAGAGATGACATTTAAAGGCTAAAATTTTGAATTCACAGTAATGAATCATCATATTTTCACATCAACCCAAACAACACAAGGCCAACTTAAATAAATGCAGAAAAAAACACAATTACATTTGCTCTTTCAAGGGTATGCAACTCTCTACCTTCTAATCTCATGCTTAGTTAAAACGATTTTCATTTTGTCCTCGAACTATTTCCTGTGAGTCATTGAACTTCCTATGCATTTAAAATCAAGATGAAACAGCATTTGGATCCATTTTAAGTATTATTTATTAATGTATACTTTTTTTAACAGTATGATTCATATGTCACTAAATATGATTTATCTATGTAGCTTTTGTATTTTTTAAAAATTTTCTTATGCATATTTGTTTTGTATTTATTTATTTTAGTATCAAATACATAGTCGGCAAAGTTCTAGTTTCAATATTAAACCAAGTTTCAGTATTAAACCAAAACTCCAATAAAACAAAATAAAAAAGGCAATAAAAACAATAAAAAAATTCCATGGTATAACCAAATTTAATGAAGGAGAAGAAAAAAAAATCAGGTGAATGGTTGTTTTTAAAATTCCATGCTGAAAATGTGCAATGAATATTCATGTTTGATAAGAAAAAGTGATCATTCTAATATGAATATAGATCAAAACATTACACTTTTTAAAAATAGTTTTACTCTTTGCATAGGGAAAAAGCAATCCTGCAAGTAATTGAACTTTCTCTTTCCATGCATTTAAAATCAACATGAAACGGCATTCAGGACCATTTTACTTCCATAATTTTTTTAAGTTTATTTGAAACGGTGAAACAGGATATTTCACTAGAAAGAAATCCATTGGGAATAGATTTTATTGTGATAAGTGGCTGTTCAATACCAAAACACACCAGGTTGTGTACTTCCTAGATGGGTTATGCCACAGGAGCAACAGCTATTGAGATTTGCTTGTTTATACTCCAAATTCTCCATTTGTAAATATGTGAAAAAATAAAGAGTGATGGTAAAAGAAGCGAAAACGTGGAAAAGCAGGAATGAATGAGAATGAGAAATGTGTATTTTGAGTATTGTGTGAGTAGGTAAAGTGTCCTGTATGTATGTGTGTGATATTTGTACCTTGTGGACAAAAGAGAGAGAGAGATAAAAGACAGAGAGGAAAAAAGGAACAACAGAAGGTTTGAGTGAAAGCGATTTCCTATCAAAAACATCATCACACCAGCTGCAGCTCAGCATCTGCGCTTATACACTACAGATGAATCTCATCTACATGAAAATTACACACACACACAAACCAAACATACACCAATCCACACAATCAATCTCTTTGATGTGACACCAAATAACGAAAGGAAACAAGAGTGTTTTTCTTCATTTCCATGGGTGCTCAAAGGAAATCCCTTTTTTCATGGTGTGCATAATGCTTACTGTGCTGTAATTGAGTTACAGTGCAATAATTCTAGTCCTCTGACAGCATCTTACTCTTAACATGAAAATTCCCTCTTGGAAACTCAATTAAATGCAATATGGCCACATCTAATTCAGTCGTGCAAAGGATTCGCGCAGATGTTGCAAAGTAGAGAAAGTAGTTTCAGCGATCTGTTACAGTAGTAGCCCCCCAAAAATATCTAGAGACTTAAAGGAATAGTTCACCCAGAACTTAAAATTTGCTGAAAATGTATTCACCTTCAGACCATTCAAGATGTATGGGAGTTTGTTTCTTCATCAGAACAGATATGGAGAAATTTAACATTACATCACTTGCTCACCAATGGATGCTCTGCAGTGAATGGGTGCCGTCAGAAGGAGAGTCCAAACAGCTGATAAAAACATCACAATAATCCACAAGTAATCCACATGACTCCAGTCCATCATTTAACGTTTTGTGAAATGAAAAGCTGTGTGTTTTGTAAGAAACAAATCCATCATTAAAGTGTTTTAACTTTAAACCATCGCCAAAATAATGGTCCCTGGTCCATAATAAAGCTTCCTCCAGTAAAAATTCAAAGAGATATTTAGAACTGTTTTGGACTGATTGTCCTTGTAAACGGTGCTTGCTCTTTGCATATTTCTCTCCACTGATTCGGATGAGATGACTTTTTCACTGGAGAAAGCAATATTATGGATAGAAGACTATTTTAGCTGGAAGCAAGGGTTTGAGGTTAATAATCTTAATGATGGATTTAATGCTTACAAAACTCACAGTTTTTCGCTTCACAAGATGTTAATTGATGGACTGGAGTCATGTGGATTACTTGTGGATTATTGTGATGTTTGGACATCACAATAATCCAGATGTTTGGACTCTCTCATTCTGACGGCACCCATTCACTGCAGAGGATCCATTGGTGAGCAAGTAATGTAATGCTAAATTTCTCCAAATCTGTTCTGATGAAGAAACAAACTCATCTACATCTTGGATGGCCTGAGGGTGAGCATATTTTCAGTAAATTTTCATTTTTGGGTGAACTATTGTTTTAAGCCAAAATGTACTCCCTGCATTAGATACAAAATATCAAAGCAACTGGCATTTATTTTAAAGAAAGATATTACAAGCACACTTTTCAATCAAAACATTTCAAGAAAAGATATATACTGTACTGTAGTCCCTAGTCCAACATATACAGTCTTACCTCAGCTTGAAAGCCCTCTACTAAAATGGCAACTAGTAAGTTGAAGAGGACGTAATTCCCAAAGGTCATCAAGGCCACAAAGTACAGAGCCGCCCAGGGGGAGGTGGAGGCCATGCCGTTATACAGAACCACATTCCAGTCCTCCTGGGTCAAAATCTGTAGAGACACAGGATGACTGTTAGCACAAATTGTCGACTGTTAGCACAAATATCACATTTTAAACTATTGTCTTAAATTGTGAGCAGGCAAATACTGTAGCATATAACCACCAATTAACACCTGCCTTTATCTAAATGCTTTAAAAAATGTCATAATGTCATCTATTGCTTACAACAACACCTCTATGTGTATAACATACCTTGAAAAAAATCAGTATTTTGATTATAATGATTAATGGTATATTCATATGAAGAAAAGTATATTTAATTGGTTATGGATAAATATTGGCAGGTGACAAAACCAAAACTGAACTTGAATTGAAAAATCTGAAACTGAATTGAAAAACCCCCCCAAAAAAACAGTTTGTGTAATTAATGCATAATGTAACACTCATTGGCCACAGAAATGTTATGACAAGTTATTCTGACTTCTTTGAACCATCCTAATTTACAATATTTACAATAATTAATATTTACAATAATTCTTATTCTTATTATTTGTTTAAATTATTAAAAACAAATTGCAACATTTACTGTATCTAGCTTGAATTTTTTTTCTTTAAAAAGACATTATTTATAATAAATGAAAATTAAGATAAATTATTAACTATAAATATAATATAAAAAACTCATTAGCCCAAGCAAAGTAGCAAATTATTTATATTTACATTAATAGTTTTTTATTAATGTAATTAATGTATTTTATTTAATAATTTTAAAGGTATTATTACAAAGAAAGAAAAAGCATCATCATTAGTATAAACAAGTAAAACAAATGAAACCTTTATTTATTTATTTTTTGGCTCATTTAAAATTCAACTTGCAAATGCGAAGAAACTTTGTTTAGTTTGTTTTCCCTTCACTCCAGCACATTTCACACAGCCATAACAACAGAACCTGAACTCATCTCTGCCTCTTCCTGCAGACTGATTTAGAACAGAAGAAAAACAGCAGGTTCAGTCTGGAGTTTATATTCTGCTTACAAATGCACACACACACACACACACACACACTCCCACCCACACCCCACAGGAATAGAGATTAGGGAAATTAAAGGCTCCCGGTACCGAAGAAACCCTGACTCTGATGGCTTCCCTCAGGGCCTGGAGTTAATACAGCACTATATCAGTATTTGCACAAGTGTCACCCCCGGTGACCTCATCACACTACCCAATACCGCAGGGAGAGGGCTGATGACCTCATCATGTCTGCAATAATATGGGGCAGGTTTCGATGACCTCAGCAATTTCAACTCTAACAGTAGAAGTTTAAATAATTCCAGTCTTAAAAGTAAGACTGACACACACACAAACACATTCATTCACATACAGCAAGCCTGAGCCGTTGCTTAATAGACAGAGATGACCGCAAGAGGATTTTAGCACTTTTAGCCATATAATATAATGATGTATAGTAGATTGCAGAACAAAAATATGTTCTCTTAAACACTTTACAGACAATAAAATAACAAATAATTTAAATAATGATAAATATTAATGTACAGCTTCAAAATAGCTGTATTCTGCTCTGACATGCAAGGATTTGTTACTTCATTTAAGGGAGGCTAAATACCCACAATCCCTTGCCTCAGCATTTTTGCAAAATGTTGCTGTTCCCACATTGAGGAGTGATTATTTAATCAAAACTTGCTTCTGAAGACTAAAAATGCTATTTCTGGACTTTAAATGAATAAGCCTCTGTCAGTTTAGCGACCTACAGACTCCTGGTGGTCAGCAAAATGTGGGGATTTCACGAACAGCAACTTCAAAAAATAGTTGTGTAATGTTTTATCTTTCACTAAAACTGACTTTTGTTACTCTTCAGAACATTAGATTCATCAGGGCTGGAGCCACGCAAGTAGATATAACTGCAGACCGGAGATCTCCAAAATGGGGCGTGAACTCCAAAAGTGGGCAGAACCTCCAAAATGGGGCTTTTGCGTTTTTGATCGCTGTAGAGTCACCTATTGGCCGATTGGCGTGAGTCTTTGTCACAATCTCCTAAAATTGAGCTCCACCATCTGGCCAAGTTTCAAGTTTCTAGGCCTTACGGTTTGGTCTGCACAATCAGTTTTAAGCGCAGGGGAAAGACTTTAATCTCTATCGCTTTGTTCTAAGCAGCGGAGGCGTCCCGGGGCTCGAAATTCGCAGGGTATGAGGGGGTAGTGACGCTGAGTGTAACTAAAAAGGTGCCATTGTCCGGTGAGGTCCGGTTGGGGAGTTACGGAACGATCTCATATCGCATAATCTCCTGAACTGCAACTTTCTTTACCACGCTATTCAGTGCCAATCGTGCAGTCAATTTCACTGGTTAAGGTTAGGGTCAGGTGTGGGTTAGGTTTAGGGGTTAGCATTTTTTGTAGCATAATGTAGGAAATCAACACTTTAATTGACACAACCAATAAAATCTTTAGAATCAGCTGTGGGGCGGAGTTTGCACTGAAGTGGATTGGGGGAAAAATCGCGCATGCATGTCATGTGCCTCTCTGTCAATGGGAGGAAGCCACGCCCTATTTTGGAGCTCCCAACCCATTTTGGAGTTCCCGCCCCCATTTGGAGATCTCCGGGCTGCAGTTATACCCTTCTCGATAATTCCGCACTCAGCTGCAATTCCAGGTTTTCAAACAGAGATGGCGACAAAGAGGCAAAACTTACGGACTGCAGCTTTTAAGCAATAATAAGTAGTTCTCCCTAATGTATTTCTACCTTTCTTAAAATAATATAACATCCATATATTGCTTATTAAAGAGTTTAGGGACAATCTTCTGACCTGGAACACGGTGACGATGGCCCAGAGGAGTGAGTCAAAGTTCTTCCTATCTGACACAGTGTCTCCATTCTCCAAACGCAGAGTAAACTTACACCCAAAAAAAAACATTTACTTCAATAAATGCAAGAATATCATTTCCAGGTAACAGTGACATTTGTGTCCAGCTAACAACTGATATAATTGTTATAATACAGAAATTTTGTCATTATTTAAAAGACTAGAAACTGTTTAGTGTGTAAAACAAAATAATTTTTACACTAAATCATTGTGTTTTTGGTAACACTTTAGTTTGGGGACCAATTCTCACTATTAACTAGTTGCTTATTAGCATGCATATTATCATACTGGCTATTCATTAATACTTATAAACCACATATTAATGGCTTATTCAGCATGACCATATTATACATCCCTTAATTCTACCCAATGCTTAAACTGAACTATCTTACTAACTATTAATAAACAGTAATTATGAGTTTATTGAGGCAAAAGTTGTAGTTAATAGTTAGTTAATAGTGAAAATTGGTCCCAGTGGACTCAATTTTTCAATGTTTTTCATCAGAATTTCAGACAATTTGCATACTCTCATTTATCACTATTACATTTTAAGGTCTAATTAAATGTTTTCTTAAAACTACTACCTAAAAGAGCAATATGTGCTTGCTATGGAGGAAATTAACCATAATGACAAGGTACACTGAAGCTGAATGAATATTAATATGATTATTTGACAAAAATCATAAAAAACGAAAACAGAAAATATACAAATAAAATCTAATTGAAAATATTAGCAAAAACTATAATAGTATATCAGTGTATAAAATAACACTGATACCTGGCATAATATAAGTACATTAATTCCATACTCACTGTGACTGGATTGAAATAACAAAATAATGTTGTGCTTAGGAAAAATTCACCTTCTTGTGTTAACCTTTTAAAATGAATGAATGAATATTAAAAAATAAATAAAAACTTAATGACGAATCATATTCCTTCTACTGAAATTGTACTAAAAACCTCTGAAAACCAATTGGGAAATGAAACCTCATAACACATATGATCTACAAACAGTACGACTCTTGTTCTTGTATGGAAGAACTTATATACAAACCTAAAGATGAAGATGAAGAGCATCAGCAGCATGCAGAATGTGGCCACATTGTCCATGGTCTTCATCAGTACCACCAGCTGCCTGCGCAGAGCTGGGAGGAACCGCACCAGCTTTAGTACCCTGAGCAAACGAAACGTCCGCAAAACCGAAAACCCTCCATCCGCTTGTCCGACGATCTCACACACACTGTAGAAAACACCAGACAGAACTGTGGTCAAAATACACAGCATTTACAACAAATGTAAAACAAACAGATTAGCACAGAACCTGATTGTAACGATGATGCCGTCAAAGATATTGTATAGGTTGCTGATGTAGTTGAACAGACCGCAGGCCAAAAGCTTCAGGAGCATCTCTAACGCAAACAAACTAGTGAAGACAATATTACTGATCTCCAACACGTCTGTCAGCTCCTCCGGCTAAAAGAAAGAACGAGAATTTACAATATTACTGATGTGCCATAGTAACAGGCAACCAATGTATATTTGTGTGAACATGTAGGCTCTTTTAGCCTGTTTTTTTTTTGTCTACCAGATGAAAAGGCTTTGAAAAGTAATGGCACACTTCTCCTCAACAAGCCATGTGATCTGAGGTATTATTCATGTCTGTAACACATATGCTGCTAATACGAGCGTATACAAAAGCTAAACTACAGTGTTGTTACTGTCATGACATTCTATTTATGCTTCTTCTCTCCATGTGGCTTTATTTCTTGCAGAGGAAGAGCAGGCGAGCGCTGTTATTAACCGTGTCTACTGTAATGTAAATAATCATTTCCCTGGCAACAGTGTGAATGTCCTCTGCCTCAAACCGGTTAATATCAGTCTCCCTCTCAGTCTCACACAGACACACTAATCCTAACAAAGGGGGTTAATTAAATGCAATATGAGCTACAAACACGCATAGAATCACAGCGCTGGGGGATCATGTTGTTTTACAATGAGTGACACTAGGGCATTTATTTGTATGTAACAGCAAAAAACAGACACTAAAAATTGTATTGCTCAAAGTCACCATTTCATATTTCAGGAGATTAATTGAGGGACTCATTATGTTTCAATCAGGTATCAACTTTGTTGTACATGTTTATATAAATAATATGTGTATATATATATATAAATAATTAAGTATCCATTTGAATTTGGAAAACATGAATAATTTTTTTCGGTCACAGACAGAATGCACAGATTTGGATCCAAAATGACACTGGCACATTGGAAATTGCAAGCGTTATTATTTTTTAATCTAACATCATCCATCCATTTAATTGCATAATTTAAGTACTCAACTAAATCTTAGTCCTCAGATTCAAGTTGAAAAAAATCTAATAAAACTAATAAACTAATATTTCCCTTTAAACATTATTGTTAACAATAATAATAATAATCTAGTGTTCTAGTGTTGTTGTACTAAAAATAATGATTAAAGGGGTGGTTCACAGTTTTTTTTCTAGGCTTGATTGTGTTTATGGGGTGCAGTCTAACATATGTTAATGCTTTGTTTAAAAAAAAACGCATTATTTTTCACATAATTTACCTTTATTCCACACCGCTCTGTCTCTTCTCTGAGAAACGTGCTGATCATTTCCTGCTTTTATGAAGCCCAGCCCTCAGAAATAGGCGATGGGCTCTGTTTGGTTAGCTAGCCCAGTGTGTTGTGATTGGCTAAACAGCCTCAAGTGCGCATCTAAACGTCCCGCCCCTCACCTCAGCGGCAAGTGCTCCGGTTGTATTGTAAACAACGGCGTCGTTAATATCACTTATCAGTTTGAGCCAGATTGAGAAGCAGAGGTTATTATTGAAGAAGATTGTGCAGAACCTGTGCAAGCACAGCTTTTAATGGTAGGCCTATGTTTTTTGTTTGTTGTGTAGAGTACTATATTAAATAATAATAATTATTATTATTATTATTGAAAAAGTTCAAGTTTGTGGAAATTTTTCCTCTTTTAATATTTTTATAATTAAGTTTCACATTTTTATTTTGGGGTGTATATATCTGAGCACAGTTTATGAAATTGTTGAGATCTCTTTTAAAACATAGGAGACACACGTGGGATTACTAGAGAAGCAGGATTCTTCTCCACTTAATTTCACTAGTGTTTAATAGAAACAACTCAGATGTTAATTAATCTCATTTGTGATTGGTGTCTAAATGAGTGCATTGTTTTCACCTGCTCATGGTACTCCACTCCCATGCTGAGTGTATTGATAAGGATTGCTATCATTATCCCTCTGTTGAAGTACTTGCTGTCCACAATCCGTCTCAAAATGGCTCTGGCATAATGTACACACATACACACACAATTCTCATGCCCAGACCCCTTTTCTTCCAAATCCTGGTTTCTTTTGCTCTGTTCTGAGCTGACGTCTGGCCCCTGTTTCTCACGGTCCGACTCAGTGTTGGAGTTGCAATTAACACCGTCGCCTTCCAGGGCGCAAATTGGGCAGGAGGACGACTCTGAAGACACCAGCCCAACCCTGCTGTCCACACACACACTCGAGCATGTGCCCGGATACACACCTGCAGTGAAGGACAACGTTATTTAATATTACACATAAGGAGGCTGGGGCTACATGTCTCAAAAACTAAGTCCAATTTACACAAAAGCTCGTTTTTTCTATATGTCTATACAGAGACTGACTGTCAAAAATAAATCGACTCCAACTCTCTAGCTTGCTTCCTAATCTATAGTAATTTTTTAATAAACCTGGTATTGTGTATTATGAATATTGCTGGCTGTGGCAAATTCTAAGTCACTTTGGATAAAAGTGTCTGCTAAATGCATAAACTGTTCACTGCAGTAAATATTTAAAAAACTAGCCCCAGCCTCCAGTAATGCATTAGTGACTTGAATACAGTTTACGACATTTGCTTTGATAATAGTGATTGATACTGTCTTCCTTTCATAATCAGTGCAAAGTCTGTCTACACCTGCCTTTTGAGACCCTTCTGTTGTGTCTGAGCTTCGATTATACCCTACATGAAATTCAATATATTTATCATTCACATATTAGTTGATCATTTTAAACAGATGGTATGCTAACTGAGGACACCAAACCCAGTCAAAAAGGAATCTGTACAGGATTCTGTGAGCAATTTAGTAAATAATAATTTGGCACCAATTCTTTAATTACCCTAATGGGATCAAACTGGATTTCTCTAAGATTTTATAGTTTTCAGCATTAAAGAAAATCCCAATTCTGCTGTTTACTGTCTTTGTCACCACTTTTATTGTTTTGGAATAATATGATTACTGAGTGAGCTATAAGAGTTTTAAATCAAACTGTTGTTATTTAAATTAAATGATATTGGCTATTTAAAAGGTTTATTGATATGCTCCAATATAGAGTCGGACGTGCTTGATGTTATTAAGCGCAATATGCAGTGCAGAACTTCATGCAGCGCTCCCACAGTCTGACACACTCCTGAAGCGCAAACACAGAAAGCTCTCCCAGTCAGCATGTAATCGCAAATTTTGGACGTGCTTAATGTTTAATAAAGCTATTAAGCGCAATAAAGCAGTGAAAAAGAACTCAATGCGGAGCTTGCACGCTGACAGACACCTAAAGTGTGTGCACAGACAGAAAGCACATCTCTCAGACAGCATGCGATCGCAAATTCAGTTCACTTTCACGTCTTATTGTGCTTGAATGGTCAAATCCACACACAATTATGCCAAAATACCCACTGTGTGGAGTATCCTTATAAACACAGTCGGTTATGTGTTAAATTAACATAAACACATGTGTATATCATTATATTTCAGTATATTGTTTCAGTATATCCGTCCAGTCAGTCTTAAAGTGACAGCAGTCTAATAAACCTGCTGTTGTCTGACATTAATGTTAATCAAACAACAAAAGACAAAGAGAAAGTGACTCATTGCACTTGACTGAATCACTTTTGGATCTTTATTAACTTATTTTATTTGTATTTTTGTTCTATTGTGTTTGTAATTTGCTTCTTTGTTCTTATTTTTAATAACAAAAATAAATGTAAATAAAAATAGCTAAAATTTCTCATACCGTGAAATAAGATTTTGGTCATATTGTCCACCCCTATGTCCCAATAAACATCCTGTTTCAATAGAAAATATACTACAGTTTTTTTTTTATTTTTTTTTTTAGAAATGAATACTTTTATAATATTTAAACTTTTATAATAAACTATACTTGTATTAATACTTCTTTATAGCAAGGATGCATTCAATTTATCAAAAGTGACAGACTTTTACAAAAGATTTCTATTTCTAATAAATGTTGTTCTTTGAATTGTCTATCTATCAAAGAATCCTAAGAAAAAGTATCACTGTTTCTACAAAATTAATAAGCACTGTTTTCAACATTGATGATAATAATAAGAAAGGAGTAATGGCTGCTAAAAATTCAGCACTGGCATCACAGGAATAAATTACATTTTAAAAATGTATTACAAAGTAAGGATTTTCTTGTTAACTTATCCTGTTGTCAATCATAAAATTTCTTTTTTTGTGTGTGTTATGTTAAATAATTGATAAATGATCAATTTTGCATTAGGATAATTTAGGTTCCAAATTATGATGTAAATATTTTCAAGATTCCTAATGGAATTTCTAATGGTTGCTGGCATTCAAACCACACCACTGTTGTTTGCCAAAAAAGGCAAAGTTTGGTTTGTTCAAACTTGACGAAGGGCAACCTGACCATATACTGCAAAATAAAGTTTTATATCTATTAAATGTAGCTGTACAGAATTGTGGGCGCGGATGTACTTTACCCACAAGATGCTGAGACGAATCAAAGTTATGAATGCATTTTGACCAAAATGTTGAAAAATCCCAAGGTGTCCTCACCAGGTAATTTCAGGCAAAAGTCAAGAGGCTCACAAATAATGACTAGACAGAGTGTGTGTTTGTGCAGACGGTTCCCTCAATTCAATTTGGAATTATTAGGGCATGTCAAGTGCGCAAAGCCAAGAAAAAAAAAAAGGGAATTCCATTATCTAAGTTATTAAGTTAAAACCCCAGAGACAGAATTTACTCTTAATCCACAAACCCAATTTGAAACATGACAGCATGGCCAAAACCACTTCTGTTTTTGCATAGAGATTGTCATATTTTACTTAATATGCTTTATGTACAGTGGCCCTAAAAAGTATTTGTACCTTTAAGCCACAATTAATATAGAATAAACCTTATTTCGATAGTCTACTTTAGACATTCTACTAATTATAAGAAACTTTGCAATTACATGTCAACTAATGGGACTGTTAGGGATAGGGTTAGTAGAATAAGTTGTCATGTACTTGCAGAGTTACCTATAGTTAGTAGAATGTCATATATTAAGTGTTACCTTAATATATGAATGTAATTGCATTAGATAACAAAATACTGCTTATCTATGTTCTTACCATGCTGCAACTTGTAAGTATCATGGTATCCACTACAAATGGAAATCTTCCTGCCATTCAGTCCATGATGGAAAGCTGGTGCTTTGACTCCACCTGTCGAGTGTGAGCGAGTATGTGGGTTTGTGTATAGTTTGGAGGGCAGGATGGTGGGATAGTTCATACCGAGCCTCAAACCCTTTAAATTCTGTAGTGCAAGTGGAAGCGATGGAGTCTTTTTGGAACTCTGAGCATCTCTATCGAGATGAAGGGTCTTCATTTCTATGCCATTACTGATATAATGTTGATGCTGAGGAGGATGATGATAATGCTGCATACAGTATTGGGTCGGACCCATTTTTGTCCCATTGTCACTCCGATAGCCATTAGTCCCGCCCACTGAGAGGGAGCTGCTGGGATTGGCCACACCACTGTGTCTTTTGTGGCATAATTCACCATAGAGGCGTGCGGCATGACGGCAAAGTTTACGACAAACGTGGACGAGGTATTTCAGCATTTCTTCGTAGCAGGATCCTGGTTCGGTCAGGCTAGCTAAGGTGGATTCGTTACTGCGGAAACGTGCCCGCTGCTCCTGCATCAGCTGGTTCTCACGTTGTTTGGTCTCGGAGAACTGTGTTGCAATGACGACCAGGCACAGGTTGATCATGAAGAAGGAGCCAACCTGTGGCAAAACAAGATATGAGTATACAACATAGAAAACAATAGCCCAAAAACATTAGGATTATGAAATACCTAGAATACTGATGTTTTGTAATTGGGTATTCGTGCATATTTCATGACCTTGAATTTTCTTCAGTGTTTCTAATCAATAAAATTGCGATTTGCATGACACGTTTATGAACACTAAACTGGAACAATTTATTTGAAAAGTTAGGAAATTATTTCCATTCAGAAATTGCTAGTAAAATTAACATAAAAAATGCAACACACACACACACACAAACACACACACACACACACACACACACACACTGTATTAAATGTGTACTCCAATAATATTTGTTTTCACTTCTAAATGATCGTCCGAAAAAGTGTACTTCCACCACCATTCAAAAGTTTGAGGTAAGTTAATTTTTTCATAAAGAATGTAATACTTTCCACAAATATATTAAGCAGCACAGCTGTTTTCAACATGAAGAAATGTTTCTTGAGCAGCAGGAAAATCAGCATATTAGAATGATTTCTGAAGGATCATGTGACACTGAAGACTTGAGTAATGATGCTGAAAATTCAGCTTTGCATCACAGGAGTAAATATGTTTTGAAATATGTTAAAATAGAAAATAGTTTAAATTTTAATATTATTTCACAGTATTTCTGTTTTATTCTGTATTTTTTTATCAAATAAACGCATCATTGGTGAACAAAAGAGACTTCTTTCAAAAACAATAAAAAATCTTACCATCCCCAAACTTGGAACGGTAGTGTAAGTTTAAGCATAGGTAGTTTTTATGGGTAAAACAATTATTTTCTCATTTCTACAAGTAGTACTTTTAGGTTTAAGTAGTACTTTTTTAGTATCCAAGTATCCATCTAACAATACCAACTAAAAAGCTTCCACATTTAAGTACATTTAAAAGTAAAAACTTTGCTTTTAGCTTTTCAAAATGACAAATCAAGAGCCTATAATTGATTTTAATACAATATATTTTAAAAGTCATTAAATATGTACTTTGAAGGTCTAAGATTGTATAAAATGTATGATTTTCTCCTTAGAAATGTAGTACATTAAAGTAGTATTGCAGTACGTTTCTTAAGTACAAGAATTCAGTTTCAACATTGCTCAATTACAAATTCTCCAAAATGATGACAGAATTTTCATCTCTCTAAGTATAGTTATCAAGTAAAATTACTTGAGTAAATTACACCACTGATGATAACAAAAAACATTTCCATGCAACTTATGAAAGCAGAGACTCCAGCAGAGGTTAAAAGAGAGGAAGATGTATCAGTTAATTAAGTACTGTGCGCTTACAATAATAAGAAAGATGAAATAGATGAAGTTGAAAAATGAATGTGCATCCATGACATAGTACATGATATCCACCCATCCCTCTAACGTGATGACCTGATGAGAAAACACAAACAAGATTATACAGGTTACAATATCCACCATTCATGTAATGCTTAAAATACAGCACTTCTATCAAGTGCCAAAATACAATGGACAACTTCACATATTGTTCATCGCTTCCACAAATCTAGGTCAGGAAACTCTATGGAATGATAAACGTCATGCTGTGGTTAGTGGGATTACTCAGAAACCAGATAAGTGTTCGTGTTCATCCTGAATCAGATTACTAAAGAATATGATAAATATTGTTGCCCTAAAGATTAGATTAGAATGGAACATGATAAAACTTGATTTCCTATAGGTAAGTTGGTTACTGATGTAAGAGGATTCACTCTCGCTGTAGCCCCTGGCAACCATTCACTTCATTTTCCGACTCTGAAAGTAAGTGTCTCTCGGCGCCAAATGGATATGTGAGGATAAAAAAAAATATATCACCACCTGCCAGACTGAATATATACTCAGCGATAATTTTAATGAACAACTTGGAGCGGATTTCTAACACACATTCATCCAAGTAGAAAAAAAAAAATCAGAATTCCTGACCTGCCTTCCTAAAAATTTATTGATGACTTTGCATGTTTTGTTTTTTTTACATAAACTCATTCAATACTCTTTTCAATGACTCTGCTGTTGTCATACACACCTGAAAAATAGCAATCCAAGCATATCCAATGTTGTCAAAATTGATAGCCCCATTATGCGGATTGTGTTCGCTTGCACTGCAGTTGTTGTAATACAAGTTCCAGTTTACACATCCATGATGAGGGGGATCTTTGAAAACAAGATCTGTGACATTATCAGCCGTGAGTTCACAATCAGCCCGTCCAACTCTGCGTTTCGGGATGTTGGAGCAGTGCAACATTCCGTTCTCCCGAGTGGTGGAGCAAATGAAGGGGATGTCATCTGCTTCGTCCAGTCTGTAGTATTCACTCACAGACTCTGAAACATTATACAGCCTGCAGAGAGACCATATGGAGTAAGTTAGGGAGAGACACATGCACTGTGCAGGCTTATTATAAAATTTTTTATATATATATATATATATATATAACATGGTAACACTTTACAATAAGGGCCCATTAGTTAACGATTGTTAATGCATTAACTTACATTAACTAACAATGAGCAATACTGTATATTTGTTACAGCATTTATTAATCTTTTTAATGTTAGTTAATAAAAGTACAAAATGTTCATAGTTAGTTTATTGCTAGCTCAGGTCCATTAAATAATATTAACAGATGCTAATTTTGATTTTAAAAATCTATTAGTAAGTGTTTAAATTAAGGTGAACTAAGATAAATAACTGCTTTAGAAGTTTTTTCATTGTTAGTTCATGTTAAAGGGGTCATATGATGCTTTTTTAAAGATCATTATTTGGTGTATTTGGTGTAACAGAATATGTTGACATGCTTTAATGTTCAAAAAACACATTATTTTTCAAATACTGTACATTATTGTAGGTCCTCGATGCTCCGCCTCTCTCAAACGCTTCGTTTTCTACAAAGCCCCCTCCTT